GACTCCTACCTTGCCAAAATTTATATTTGTGTTCTCTACTCCTACTATTCTCACTGTTAAATATGAAAGAAAGATGATGCATTAACACTATCAATTCCCTTTAGAATCTTAAACACCTCAATTAGATCCCCCTAACTCTTCTTTTTTCAAAAGAAAATAATTTGAGAGATTTCAGCCTCTCCTCGTATGACAATCCCTCCATCCCAGGTACCATTCTAGTAACCCTTTCCTAAGGTAAGGAGCCCAAGATTGAACACAATATTCCAAATGTGGCCTAACCAGTGACCTGTAGAATGAAATTATAGCCCCTTTAGATTTGTATTCACTATTTCTGTAGATTCAACCTAAAATCCTATTTGCTCTACCACTAACAACAGCACACTGCTTGGATGGTTTTCGAGACTGATCAACTATTACACCAAGATCCCTTTCCTTCATAACACTGTTAAGGTTATTCCCATACAAATTATACTTATAATTTAAATTATGATAACCCACATGCATTATGTTGCATTTATTATAATTAAAACCCATCTGCCATTTATTTGCCCAACTTACTAAATTATCTAAATCCTTTTGTAAATCAGGAACATCCTCTTCACAGCAAGAAACATCCAATACCTTAATACCATCAACAAATTTAAGTAATTTATTGACCATTCCTTCATCTATGTCATTGATGTAATTCAAAAAGAGCAAAGGTCCTAAAACTGAGCCGTGAGGTACCCCACTTAACATTAATCTAGTTTCACTGAACTCCATTTGTAACCCTCTGCTTTCTTCCACCCAGCCACTCTTCTATCCAATTTGCTAACGTATCCCACACACCTATGGAAATATTTTTTTTGACAAGCCTTTTATGTGGCACCTTGTTAAATACTTTCTGAAAATTCAGATACACCAAATCTACACCCTTACCTACATAAACAGTAACCGTTTCAAAGAATGTCAAAAGATTTGTAAGGCAAAACTTTTCCCACAACTAATGTAAGACTAGTGGGTCTATAATTACTGGGACAATGTTTACCACCTCATTTGAAAAGAAGTTATATTAGCTAACTTCCAATCCTCTGGTACCTGTCCACTATTCAAGGATTGACAAATAATAACAAGTGGCTCACATATCCAATCTTTAACCTCCTTCAAAACCCTTGGGGAAATATTATCTGGCCCAGGAGATACTAGCCTTCCTTTATCATCCCTCAAGGGTCCTACCCCCATCCTAGCATTTTGTTTACCTTAATGTATTTAAAGAAATCCTTACTGTTAATTTTACATTTTCAACCAACCTTTTCTCATACATCCTTTTTGATGTCCTAATTTCCTGTTTCACAAACTTTCTTGATTTTTTATAATCTTCTAAATCTCCTGTGATACCAGTCAATTTAAATTTCTTAAATTTATTATGCTTTTCTTTAATTTTATTTCTTAAACTTTTTGTGAGCCAATCTAGTTTTTTACTTGCAGCTACCCTTTTCTTTCTATAAGGAATATGTTTACCTTGAATATTTAAAAATGCATCTCCAAACATTTTTCCACATCTGATCAGTTTCTCCAAATAATTGAGCTACCCAATTCACAACAGATAATTCTTGTCACGCCCCCTTCAAAATTTGCTTTTTTGAGATTTGTAACCAAAATATCATTATTCCTTATCTCCATGTGCAGCAAAACATCGAACCTAATAGAGCAATGATTACTTGCATCCAGATGTTCCCCAATTTCCATCCTCTCAAAAATTTCTGTATTTGAAGTTAACAATAAGTCTAAAATTGCATTGTTTCTAGTTGGTTCCTTGATTAATTGGTGAAGAAAGCCATCCTGAAGAGTTTCCAAAAACCTTTCTCCCTCACAGCTTGACTCTAGAATTTTCAAATCTATATTGCTGAAATTAAAATCACCCATAATTCTGACTTCATTAACAACTGAAATCTTAATCTTGTAAAATTTCTCATTAATTGTATCAGTATCATTTGGGGGTCTGTAACAAATTCCCACTAAAAGCCTTTTTCCTTTATATCTACTAACAGAAACCCAAATGGATTCAATCTCCTCAACTTCAACAGGATGTAACACATTTTACATATAAAGCCACTCCTCCCCTCCTCTTTAATACTCTATCCCTATTAACTAGCCTGTAACCCCATATTTCAAAGAAATTTCTGTCATCAAAATCATCTACATTTAACCATGTTTCAGTTACTCCCATTATATCAAAATCCTCCATTCCTACCAGTGCTCTAACATCATCTATTTTATTTCTTATACTTCTAGCATTACAATAGTAACAATTAAGCCTAACCTTACCTTCTATACTCATTTCTTATGCTAAACTTTTCTCTGCCTGCTATTCTTTTTTGCACTTAATTTTTCCTGGCCCTCACTACTGTCTAGTCCTAGTTTAAAACTTGCCTTACAGCTGAGTTAATAGCCTTAGCAAACAAGCCAGCCCCTACCATATTTAAATGTAAACCATCTATTCCAAAAAGCTCCCTTCTTCCACTGAACTAATCCCACAAGTAAAACCAGCCAATCTGCTCATCCTTACATACTAATCTAAGCCTAGCATTTAGCCCTAGTGACTTTAAAATAAATTAATAATGACAATAATAACATGCTATGTTTGAATACACTAATAATGAAAGTATCAGATTATGTTTTAACATACAAATAATAACTAATAATAACATATGCTATATTTTAATCTATATAAATAAACAACAATATGTGTATGCATATGTGTTTCTTATTACATTTCTTGATCAATCGGCACAAAACTTGACACAGTGATACAGGATGATATGAAGAAGGCCATGGGAGGTGGAGATTTCAGAAAACTACCAAATCATAACTTGACACAGTGATACATGAGGGGGGGGGGTTATTTCACCCATCAAACAGACAGGTACTCCAGCTAGTATGCTAATAATTACAATAGCAACATATGTTATATTTTAATACACTAATAACGACAATAACAGCATCTGATATTGTTTAATAGTCAATTATAATATCAATATTATCAAAGCCACTGATAATGACAATAATATCATATTCTATGTTTTAACACACTAATAATGACAATAACATTTGCTGTTTTAATAGACACTAATAATGTCAGTAATAACATGCTCTATATTAACAGACATTAATAATTATAATAATATACTGAGCCTTATGTACTGTTCAAGAATAAAAAAAATAAATAAACCCCAAATTTGGAGATAACTTATTGGACAAACTTTTCATTCAGACTTTACATTTAAATGTAAATTAGTATTAGCATAAAATAAACACCCAGTGTCTTTAATATTCAGTTAAATCATCTACATCAATACTGTGATGAAGCCCCAAAAATAAGACTAATATAATTAATGGGCAGTGATGGATTACTGGTACTTCAAGGTTGTCCTTATACATCCATACTTGAAGAAAAGTTGGAATATAGATTTTTAAACTCACCCTTAATTTTTCAGGAATTCAGTGATTCCTCTCAAGCTCCTGTAAAGTGTCGGCCTCCACTACTGCCGATGGGAAATCAATCCATTTGTCTATCCCTCTATTAGAAAAATAATTCTGTATTAATTGGAGCATAGCCTATCTTTTCCAGATCTCAAGCTTGTGTCACCTCATCCTAATATCTTAGAACATAACACAAAGAAATTGCAGGTCTTTATATCCTATGGATTTCCTGGATAATCTTGTAAAATTCAATAAGATCACTTCTTACCCTTCTTTCCCATAGGAAAAAAAAAAGAAAAAAGATCCAAATCTACACCCATATAACAACTCTTCTAAACCCAGACATATCCTAGTAGCCCTCCTCTGAACCCTTTCCAATAAGTCAATATTTTTGTAGGATAAAGAGACCAAAAGTATATACAGTACTACAAATGAGGCTTAACTAGTTATATGTAGAGAGATAATCACCTCTTTTAATTTGTAATCATGCCCATGAATTAAAGCTTGGCAATTAGTGGAATTTGATAAACAATCTTTAAACTCGTTAACTGATTACATTTAACTAATCAATTATTACCACATGAGCCTCAGATAAATGGAATAATCAAAAGTAATAATAATTGGAAACACTAATTTTGATTAATTGGTTATTTCTGTGAATCTTGACACTAATCAATTAAGCTGAACAACCTGAATTAATCAAAAATAATAGTGAGAAATCATAATGTAAATATTTGATAGTTGGAATAATTGAAGAAATGGCAATAATCAGAAACATTAATACTGAGTAATCAATTATTTTACTTGACACTGATTGACATAATTGATAACCACAGGTTGTCTATTACATCAAGTTAATTGCCCAGCTTTACTATAAATGTGTCCTACAATTTTACTTACAATTAGTAACAGAGAATTGTTTTGTTGGCTTGAGTGAATTATCTACCACAACTGTTTGCTAAAATACTTTTTTTTTCAGTCACGCTATTATATAATATAATGTTTAGGGACAACAAGGGACCAACTGGTCCATCAAGATTGTCCCATCCTCTCAGCAAAACTAAAACTATTAAATAAATACAAAGAACCTCAAAGTCAGCCCTTATCATTCATATACTTATCAAGCTATCTCTTAAACTCACTTAAATATACTGCTTCCAGAACATTTGAAGGCAATCCATTCAAAAGGCCAACCACCCTGTTAGAAAACAAACTGTCTTACCCTGCCAAAATTTGTCACCCAGCCCTACCATTTTCAGCATTAAGTATGAAAAAACAGGATGTATCAACACTATCAATTCCCTTTACAATATTAAACACCTCAATCAAATCCCCTCTAACTCTTCTTTCTTCAAGAGAAAACAATTTCAGAGATTTCAACCTCTCCTCATAAGACAACCCCTCCATTGCAGGTGCCATTCCAGCAACCCTTCTCTGAACACTTTCCAACAATTCAATGTCCTTCCTAAGGTAAGGAGCCCAAGATTGAACACAATACTCCAAATGTGGCCTAACAAGTGACCTATGTAATGAAATTATAACCTCTTTAAATTTGTATTCAATATTTCTGTAGATACAACCTAAAATCCTATTTGCCCTACCACTAACAACAGCACACTGCTTGGATGGCTTAAGAGACTGATTAACCACTACACCAAGATCCCTTTATTTCATAACACTGTTAAGGTTATTTCCATCAAAATTATACTTATAATCCAAATTATGATAACCCACATGCATTATCTTGCATATATCATAATTAAAACCCACCTGCCATTTATCTGTCCAACTCACTAAATGATCTAAATACTTCTGTAAATCAGCAGCATCTTCTTCACAGCTAGCAACACCCAATACCTTAATATCATCAGCAAACTTTAGAAATTTATTGACCATTCCTTCATTTATGTCATTGATGTAATTCAAAAAGAGCAAAGATCCTAAGATTGAGCCCTGAGGTACCCCACTTGTGACATTAATCCAGTTTGATTGAACTCCATTTATGATAACCCTCAGCTTTCTTCCATCCAGCCACTCTTCTATGCAATTAGCTAATTTATCCCCCCCCCCCACACCTATAGATATAATATTTTTACAAGCCTTTTATGTGCCACCTTGTTAAATGCATTCTGAAAATTCAGATACTCCAAATCTACACCCTTACCCTCACCTACATAAGCAGTAACCTTTCCAAGAATGTCAAAAGATTTGTAAGGCAAGATTTTCCCTTAGTGAAACCATGTTGACTATCCAATAAAATTCTAAGCTTTGTTTAATGACTTTGCAAAGCATCTTTCATCAGACTTTCCAAAACTTTTCCCACAACTGATGTAAGACTAATAGGCCTATAATTAATGGGACAATTTTTGTCACCTCTTTTAAAAAGAGGAGTAATATTAGCCAACTTCCGATCCTCTAGTACTCGCCCACTATTCCAGGACTCGCATATCCAATCTTTAACCTCCTTCAAAACCCTTGGTGAAATATTATCTGGCCCAGGAGACTCATTCTTTAAACTTCCCAATTGTTTCTTAACAAGCTCAGTGTTAATGAAATCATCTTGTTCGATCCTGTTTCCATCTATCAACTGTTCAAGATGAGGAATATTGCTTAAATCTTCATTAGTGAAAACTAAAGAAAATGCAGAATTTAATAACGTAGCCATCTCATAATCATCAGATTAGAACCTTTCTTTGTTATTCATCAAAGGTCCTACCCCAATCCATTTAATGTACTTAAAGAAATCCATACTGTTAATTTATATATTTTTAGCCAACCTTTTTGACGTTCTACTTTCCTGTTTGACAAACTTTCTTGATCTTCTATAACCTTCTAAGTCTCCCATTAAACCAGTCAATTTAAATTTCTTAAATTTGTGATGCTTTTAAGTGAGTTCCCACCTAAATAAACAAGTGATCCAAATTATGGTAAACCAAATGAATTACTTTGCACTTACTAAAATTAAAGGTCAAATGCCAAGGATTTGCCCAACTTCCAATTGCTCAAAGTCATTCTTTATCAGCACCCTCAAAACAACTAAAAATACCCAAGTACAAAGCAAACTTTATTAATAATGCCCTTATAAACATCACTAATGTAAATAATAATAAAACAAGGATCCATGCACTGGACCCTTATGCACATCACTAGAAAAAAAAGTCCAGCTTGACTCTACTCCATTAATAACTTTTAGCTTTATCACACCAAGCAACCATAAAATCCAATCAACTAATAATTCTACAATGTTGACTGATGTAATTTTCTTGGCCAATATCCTACGTGACACCTTATCAAAGGCTTTGAAAAGTTAAAGTAGATCATATCCAAAAGTCAACAGAAAAGAAAAGATTTTCCTTTAATCAATCCATGTTGACTTTCTTTTATGATATATTCTAAAAAATTATTCTGAAAAACTTTTTTTTATAAGACTAAAATTTTCCCCACTAGATAAGTAAGACTAATTGGCCTACAATTTTCAGGAAAGCTATTATACCCCCCCCCCCAAAATAAGAGTATCACTGGCAACTTTACAATCTTCATGTACCCTATCTGCCCAGTCTACTGTTCTATCAAAAATGAGAGGCTTGCGTATCTAATCTTTGACCTTTTTAAAAAGTTTGGAAAAACATTATCTGATCCTTGTGCTTTATATTTCTTAACATTTTACATACTTTTAACAAACTTGTATCTACTTGATTTAGATTCCAATATTTTCTTTAGGATGTTCTGGGTCAGAAATATTGCTAACATCCTCTCTATCAAAAATAGATGAGAATAGAAATTTAAAAACTCAGCCATCTCAGAGTCATCAGCAAACATCTTGCCATCACCTCTCTTCAAGGACTCAATCCCATTTTGTTTACCTTTAACAAAAAATCTTTGCTATAGTTTTCACATTATCAGTCAGCTACTTCTCATGATCCATTTTGAATTTTTTACAGTTCTGTAAACCATCCATAGCATATGTCAATTTAAACTAATGGTATTTATCCCAAATTTTCCACTTGGCGACCTTTGAAAGCCAAATCAGGTTTGATCTTCCATGGTATCCTTTACGTCTTTTCAGGAACATAACTATCTTGAATTAAAAGCACTTAAGATGTTTAAAATTTCCAAATCTGTTCCACATCACCTACTAAGTCATTATTCCAATTCATTTATAATATCATATATTATGGCTTCAAAGTTTTCTTTCTGACAATTAGAAACTAAAATTTCATTCCTTGCTCTCAATAAATAGCAAGACATTAAACCTAATTATACAGTTTTTTCCCAAATGTCCCTCCATTTCAACTCTTGCAATCATGTCCAGATTAGTGGTGAACAATAAATATAAAATGGCACTCTACCTTGGTTGGTGCCTTATTTGATACAGGAAACCACCCTCAATCACTTCAAGAAATCTCTCATCCTCACTACTTCACTCCACGCAATCCCAATTAATGTGTCTGATGAAACTTTGTAGAATGGAACGGCAACTGTCTGTTGTAAAGACACAAGTGTCCTCTAGACTTGTGTCTTTACAACAGGCAGTTGCCATCCATTCTACAAAGTTTCATCATGAATACTCTGCCTAAACAATCTATCAAAGAATGTGTCTGATATTAGTCTCCTATTACAACTGTATTTTGTTTTAGTACCAACCATGATCTAATTATACAATTGATATCATATGTATGACCTGATGGCCTCTAACAATTTTCAATTAAAAACTTTCTATCTTTATCAATATTTTCTCTACTTGTGTAACAAAGTACCATAGTAGATACTATGAGTGCATCATTAGTCTGATGCTTTCGCCTCTCATTTATCAAAAATGACAATGGGGACATAAGGTCACTTATACTGGAATGCTTATAAGGATGCAACACCTGAAGTTTAAACAAGAGTTCCTCACTTGAGAACTTGGGGAAACAAAATATATAATGTTTCTTTCTTCTCAATATAGCTGAAGCTATATACCCAACCACTGTGCACAATCAAATGAAAGTACATGACTACCACAAAAACAGTTTACAGTTTTGATTATACAGTTTTGGAATATTATATATTATTAGTGGTAACTTGGTGGACAACATACTAACTAAGACTACACTAAAAATCTGACAACATATAAAGTTTACATATACATGTTACAGATTTCTTTTATTTCTTACCAAGGGTAAAAACAAAAAAAGAACATACAAGGTTCATGAAACAGCTTTTCGTGGGAAGACATTTTCCACGTACATTTCGCCTTTAGAGGTGAAACATCGCCACATACACCAAGTACATTCAAGTTACACAAATATCCAAACAAGATGATACTGGCACCATCTGTTTGTTTTTTTGAAGTACATACTTTCAAACAAGTATAAAGGTGTTCCTACAGTTTTATTTATGTCACAACTTAAGTTTTTGATTCTTATAGCTTCCAAAGTTTTTCTTCTGTTTAGATTTTTTCCACATGCAATATTTACATGTTTTTGAAACTTATTTTGTATTATTTTCCAACTATGTATTCATTCTAAATGGACTGTCTTCAGTTTTTGTATTTTTTTTCCAACTAGTCATTATCTTTGTCTGTTTCTTTTATATAAAAACTTTGACAGTTTATGCAGTCTATTTTATATACTGTACCTTTACCATACTCTTCATTATAAAATTCTGGTAAAATACTTCTCATGAAGTTTCTAGTTTAATTACCATTTTAGGTTCTATGTTTAACTTGTGTTTTTACTTAATACATACCTTAGGCTAATTAATTTTTCACCAATAGCACCTGTAAATGATACTGATTTCAATATGCATTTTCTTCTTGAATTTATTTCTTTTACCTTTCTTCTTCATATTGTCATTTTTACCCTTTCTTTGTTTATTCTTTTATTTATTCTGAACAAACCTGACCTAGATGAAAGGCTTAACATAGCCCAATGGTCAGTGTACCACACCCTGAATCTGCAAGTCCATAGTTCTTGTTCTATTATCTTCAAAATGAATAATCAAACTACACACTTTAATGTCATGAGTGCATATAAAAAAAAAGTGACAATCATATCCCACTATTCAGTCAAATAGCAGTAGTCCAAGAGTTATAGGACTCCCAGTGGATACTGTTGATTAGCTGCTTTCCCATCAGTTTATTTGTTCATATTTGTCAAAGACTAAATCAGATAGCCTTTAGTAGCTTTGCATGAATATCTGAAAACAAACCTACAAAACACAGAAAATACAGTGTGCTTATCTTCATCAATCAGGCAAAGGTAAACAACAACTGATGTCTCTACACTGTTACTCACATAAAAACAAAATATATATTTCCACATGCTATTTCACCTAAGAAGAGAAACATATAAAACTGTCCAAAATATAAATGCTAGTAATTGCAGGTTAAGTTCAAAGGCTCGATCTGACAATTAGAAACCAATGCCTTAGCCTATTACCTATACAGTCCCACTACTTGCTGTAAAATGCAAATACTTATGGACTTGGTACACTGGACAAGTCACATGAATAAGTTTTGTCAAGGGAGGAGGTTGGGTGTTTAATTATTATAGAACCATAAAGGTACGAGTTTATAGTTTTAATTGTCATCACTTTTTAAAGGGTAGAAGTTGGGAGTGATATAAATGTAGAAATATAGGGTGGTTTATTTCTATTACAAAGGCATTTTAACATTTGTAATTTTTCAACATATTAGGGTGACTGTCTTCCCACAACTGACTACATACAGCAAAACTAACCGGTAGTAGGAGTTGAGACATTGTGGGTCAATGCACTCAACTTCTAACCCCTAAACTGATCTTTCATAACAGCTAACTAATTTGACATTTGCATTTGGATCATGACTGATAGATGGAATCTCCCCAATGCATTTGGGTGCTATGACCACAAAAACTGGCCAAGGACAGCTTTCTTTTTTGTTAGTCTCTTAATACACACCCCATTTTTGGTTCTTATACTGTCATCTATGTTATATAGTGCTGATTTTTATCATATATACACTTTTGATGTATAGCATTAGTATTATTAATACATACACACATACATATTTATATGCAACTACATATATATATATATATATATATATCCATAGAAATTGGACATCTTGAGTTTGTATATAGTCTTTTGAATAGTACTTTATAGTTGCATAACCATCACGTGTATAATCACTTCCTTTTAGTATAACAATTAACATTAATGATTAAACATTTATTTGTAAGCCTTCTAGGAAACTAGTTTTAAATATTTTTCTATAGTTTCTTTCAAAATGTATATGTAGTAATGTATTGTAGCACATGTGACTAATTTTTCCTGTTGAAATAATGCTCACTACTTCAAGTATTTAGCCATTACGTTAGATAGCCAATGTGCAGAAAACGAGCAATTAATCAATTTAACGAATCTTTCTTTCTCCATGAAAACAACAAATATGCAATACTTGAGTCTATGTGTGATTCGTGTATCTGTCTTCACCGTCACGACTAAGGTAATAATGTTAATAACATAGTTTATTATCTTAAAACTATGAATAAGACTCACAATGCGTAACATTTTTCGCTAAGAAACTTAGTAATTAAGACTATATTACCACATTACTCGGCCTATTATTATTAACAATGTGACTTAAGATATCAGAAAGTAAAATAGTTTACTTACTCATTAACTAAATACGTTACGATATTTACATACAAAGTAACTAATATTGTAATAGTAATCGTCAAATATATATAGTTCCAAAATATTAATTAAGATGTGCTCGAAAATGTTTTGCAGATTAAAAACATATATCTAAAAAGAGTTATAATAAATTTAACAAATGTATTACGCCTATACTAACAAAAGTTTTTCTAACTTACCCAGATGCCTTTCTTAGAAGTAACTAGAGCGCCATCTGTAACTGTAAGTACTAAATCTAAGGAAACAATTAAAACAAGAAAAATGTAGCTATCAGTAACGTACTATTATTGTTTATTTGAATATTATGCTTTTCACTTAATATATTAAACTTCAACAAGAATATTTTGATAAAAAATGTTGACTTATTATTACGACAGCTGAAATAAATTTATTATTCAATCAGCAATAAATACGCTGAGTTTTCAAAGCATTATTTTGTGATATTTTATTGAAATACTAGAACATTAATAAAAAGGAGTTTAATTTCAAGAAACCAGAAAAGTGATATCTGATGTCTTAACTTTTCATTACAGCTGTAAGATTGACGGAAGAAGTTGTTATAATGTTTGTTTGCTTGCTTGTTTCTTATCAAGCACAAAGTTACACAATGGATTATCTGTGCCCTGCCCTTCGCGTATATCGAAACCCGAATTTTAGCGGTATAAACCCTCAGACTTGCAGCTGATCAAGCCACCACTGTACTATTTTAATGTAATTCTAAGACTTTAAGGGTTAAAGCAAAGAAGAATGTGTTATAATAAGCCATCCACACCATATCTGCCATATGCAATACCGACAACCTATAACAAAAAAAAAAAAAAATTAAAAAAAAATGGCACAAGCCTAAATTTACAAGCAATTATATTTTGATTCAACAAGTAAAACTTATAAATTTATTGGTTGCAGCCATATATGTAGCAAAATGCTAACCCTCTAACAGACCTAGATGCATAGATATCCTAAAAATTTGAAATCTAAATTATTAACCATAAATGATAATAAAACCAGCCGCAGATCCTAATAACCTATCTAAGGGGTAGATATTTTAGGCCATGTGTTTGGGATTTTACTGTTACGTCTCCGTTTGTTAATTGATTTTCCGTAACTTCGTTCCGACGAAACTTTAGCGACACAAGTCCCTACTT